TCGCAGCTCGTGCTCGCTGGTAAAGAACTCTGGAGACACGCTCACATCTTTGTCATGTGTGTGTGTTACATTTTCCGTCATCCTCCGCGTCATCAGGCCTTCGAGGACATCTACATCGAGCAGACGTGGATGTAAGCTTGAAAAACGTTTGAAATGCAGTGGAGGTGTACTTTCAAACTAAACGTAGAAATAAGAACGCAACCCCACTCGTCTAAACACGGCATTCTGATGGATATTGCGTTTGTGGAATGTGAATCAAAGCAGCAAAAATGGTTTCTATGCATCTCTGGGGGCGGCCATTTTGATGACATCACAGTTGCTCAAGTGACAAACTACTCACGGCTCACCTGTTTTCTGAGTTTGGTCACGTGATGTTCGAAAGCTGAGCTGTGATTGCTCGTCACCGGAACCCTGAGCAACTGTGATGCCGATGACTGAATCGACAATGTGTGTTGAAACCCAAAGCGTCTCGCCCGTGGTCTCCCGCAGGTGTCGCTGGTGAGTCTGGTGGCCAACACGTTGGGTTATTCTGACTTTGCCGCCATCAAATCCCTGCGGACGCTGCGGGCCCTTCGCCCCCTGCGAGCGCTCTCCCGGTTCGAAGGCATGCGGGTAAGACTTTGGTCGTATATGCTGAAATTTACAAGTGGTTCTTTTGCCTGCAAGGACGTCAAAAGTGGTGGACAGCTTGATAAAATTACTGAGAGAAATAAAATAATCAAAGATATGTTGACTTCGCTTCGGTTGGCAGCTTATTCCACTTGTGTGCAGCATAACAGCTAAATGCCGCTTCACCATATTTACTTTGAAACCTGGGCACCACTACTTGACCCAAGTCTATAGACCACAGAGCCCTACTGGCTTTATATTTAACCAACCAAACCATTCAGTGATTTCTAGACCAGTAGCGGAATTTTAAACTCTATTCACCAGCTGACCTGGAGTCAGAGCAAAGCCTTTAGGACTGGAGTAATATCTTTGTTCAGGTCAGGACATGAGCTGAGCTGTAGTGTTCTGAATGAACTTTCTTTTGAGGGAGTCCAGTCGGAAGACCATTACAAAAATCAAGTCTACGGAGGTAAAAGCATGGATAAGCTTCTCCTGATCTGCTTGGAGCAAGCCTTCTCTCTGGAGAGCTTTTATAGCTTGTAAAAGGCTGTTTGATTGATTGATTTGATATCCTGTAACTGCTAAAAGTCTATCAGCACTCCAAGATTTCGGACTTGGTCTTTGGTTTTTAGAGACAGTGACCCCACATGTTTACCACCAGTAACCGTCTTTTCTTTCTAGCCGAAAACAATTCCCCTTGTTTTGTTTTATTTTGGTTGAGCTGAAGGAAATCGGGCACATTGCTAAAGATAGCTGCGTGCCATCTGCATAGACCATGATAGCCAACAATGGCATTGGGATGCATTTCACCCAAAGATAACGTATGAAGACTGAACAAAAAAGCGGTCCAAAGACTGACCCTTGAGGGACTCCCTATGTCATGGCCATTCAATCAGACTCGAAACTTCTAACGGTGACTGAAGAATTTCCTTCTCCAAGGAGGACCTGAACCATTTTAAGACCATTCCACTTAGTCCTAGCCAAGTTTCCAACCTGTCCGACGTGTCATGATCAACTGTATCAAACGCTGATACTAGTGCGGTGAAATGTTGTACTAGTGAGAAAATGGGAGTGTCCTGATCAAAGATATGGCGTAAATGCCGGCCGGTGGCGCGGCCTTTGCGTTTGGCAGGTGGTGGTGAACGCGCTGATCGGCGCCATCCCGTCCATCATGAACGTTCTGCTGGTGTGCCTGATCTTCTGGCTCATCTTCAGCATCATGGGCGTCAACCTGTTCGCCGGCAAGTTCGGCCGCTGCGTGAACCGGACGGGCCACATCTACGACGCCGCCTTCATCAACAACAAGTCGGCGTGCAAGGCCCTCAACGACACTTCGCTCTACTACTGGACCAAGGTCAAGGTCAACTTTGACAACGTGGGGGCCGGATACCTGGCGCTGCTGCAGGTGGTGAGGACACTCGGCGCCACGGCAACGCACGTCACTTGGATTGGCTGCTCCTGCAGGCCGACTTCTTTTTCTTCTTCATTTCTTCTGTTCTTATGTACTGTCCTCATTCTTCTGTTGTTTTTCTGTCCTTCTTCTGTCCATCTTTCTCTTTTTGCATTTTTCTTGTCTTCTTTTGTCCCTTTTTTTTCTGTCCTTCTTCTGTCCTCCCTCTTATCTTGTCCTTCTCTTTTCTACATCTGTCGTTTTTGTCACCTTCGTTTTTCCTCCTTCCTCCGTCCTCATCATTCTGTCCTCCTCTCCTTTCATCTTCTGTCCTTTTCTTTCTTTTTCTACTGTCCTTCTGACCCCTCTAACCTCTTTCTTTCCTTCCATTCGCCTGTCGCTGTTCCCGTTCTTACCCCTCTTTTTCCGTTCTTCAGTTTTCCTTCATGTCTTGTTGTCATGTATCTTCCATCTTCTTGTCCGCCCTCTTCTCTCCTTCTTTTTCTTTCCTTTTGTCATGTCCATTTATGTGCAAAAAAAAAAATTATATATATTTTTTTGTCTTCTCACCCCCTCCCCCGGCCGTTTTCTCTCCTCATGCTGCACTAAATGAACTCCGAAGACATTTTCCCACATGGCCTCTCGTTCTTCGGCGCCACGGGCGTCCTGCATGCCGCCAGTCAATCAGCGCTGAGAGGTTTTTATTTTTGGAGGCTCTTAAGTAGGCAGACATGAGAGCGGAAAACGAGGAGGAAGGGTGGGAGGATGAAGAAGACAAACAGGAGGAGTAAAAAAAAAAAAAAAGTGGAAAGACGGCGGGGAAAAGATGGAGAACGCCTTGATTCACAAGCGCGTGGAAGTTGAATGAGTGCCGTCGCCTTGACGACTGACGGCTCAGCATCCCTCCGTGTTTGCCCGGTCTCCGTGGCAACCGTCTGCCCTTCTATTAGCCGCTCTGCTGTTGAAAGTTGGTCAGGGGGAAGGAAGTCCATAAAAGGAAGTGTTGACGGCAGTTGCCATAGCGATCAGACAGACGACATGCTTGGACGTCGAAGCGCTTGTTTATTTTGTGCGCAAATTTCATTCAACAAAGCCTTATTTCAAGCCTTACCCTTGTTTGGAATCCATACTCTGGCTTGAAACCCTAATTTGAATCTCTCAACCATGGTTACAACCCTGACACTGTCCTGAAAACCTTAATCCTGTCTTGAAACCTGACTTTGCAACCTGAGATCAGGTTTGAAATGTCAATATAATTTGGTAATTTCAAAGTCTAATGCTTGGTTGAAACCCAAATTCATGTTGTAAAAACATTAACATTGAATCAAAAACCCTAACTCTTGTTTTTAAACCTAACTTGAAAACTTAATTTGTTTGAAACCTTAACCCTTTTTTACAACCCTAACTCAGGCTTGATACCATAATTGGAAACCCTAACCCAGACTCTATACCCTATCTTGAAACCCTAACTCGGCTTGAAACCCTAACTCTAGATTAAATCCTAACCCTAACTTGAAACCCTTATCCTGGCGTGAAACATTTACCATTGTTGAAAACCGTAACCCTGGTTTAAAGCCCTAACCCTCCCTGACCAAAATATGAAACCACACCTTGTTTAAAACCCCAACCCTAGCTCCAAGCATTCCTTTGTTTACCCTGTCTTGAGACCTTAACGCTGGCTTGGAACCCCAATTTGATACCCTGTTCCTAGGCTTGAAACCTTCCTTTGCAATCCTCAAGTCAGCCTCCAAACCCAACCTTTGTTTTCGCGCTTCCTCTGCCTCATACAACCCTATCGTTGTGTCGCTTTGTGTCAAAGGCGACCTTCAAAGGCTGGATGGAGATCATGTACGCCGCCGTGGACTCGCGAGCCGTAAGTCACGGGCACCGAACGGTCGTGCGGCGACGTCATCGGCGCGGCATCAAGCGTAAATGTCGAGGGGTGTGTTGCGCAGGTGGAGGAGCAGCCCATCAAGGAGATCAACCTGTACATGTACCTCTACTTCGTCATCTTCATCATCTTCGGCTCCTTCTTCACCCTGAACCTCTTCATCGGCGTCATCATTGACAACTTCAACCAGCAGAAAAGGAAGATAAGTGCACCATAAACAGGCTAACTTACAGTATACATATAATACAGTTGCAAAAGCTGCGATTGATTGACAAGGTGGAAACGTTTGACCCGAGGTATGTGCTCCCGAGCTATTTTTTTTTTCTTTTTCCGTAAAAAAGAAAAAAAATAATAATAATAATCTGATTCTATTTAAAGGTCGAACTGCCCAGTGAATGTTGTGTGTTGTGTCCTTGTGACGTCAGCAGGATGAAAATAATGGTGCGGTGTCATGTTGCTTGCACTTAGGAGGCCAAGACATCTTTATGACGGAGGAGCAAAAGAAATACTACAATGCCATGAAGAAGTTGGGCTCCAAGAAACCCCAGAAGCCCATCCCCAGACCTCTGGTACTGCCACCACACATGACGCTTTGGAACGAAAAAAACGGCGACATTTTATAAGCCTGTTTCCTTCCCACATTCCAAAAACGTGCACGGCAGGTTAATGGAGCACTCTAAATTTTCCCTACATGTGATTGTGAGCATGGATGGTTGTTGGTCGATGTGTATGCCCTGCGATTGGCTGGCAACCAGTTCAAGGTGTCCCCTGCCTACTGCTCGAAGACAGTTGGGGATAGGCTCCAGCACGCCCGCGACCCTCGTGAGGATAAGCGGATTAGAAAATGGATGGATGGATAGAAATAATTAAACAGTGCCCGCCTTGGCTACCCGCGTTCAGTATAATACTGCTATATCATTCATTGAATCATCTGCTCTCAACTCATCAGTGCGGCACTAATATTCGTCATATAAAGATTGAGACTGAGTACGGTTGTTTTGCTTGCATTTCAAAGCAAAAAAATATTTACAAATCAGCCGGCTCGCATCTCAAGACAGCGTAAAGATGACACGTCGGTTCTCTTGTGTCCCCGTCAGAACGACGTGCAGGGCTTCTTTTTCGACCTGGTGGCCAAGCAAGCGTTCGACATCATCATCATGGTGCTGATCTTGCTCAACATGATCACCATGATGGTGGAGACGGACGAGCAGTCGCCCCAGATGGAGCGCGTCCTCAACAACATCAACGTGGCCTTCATCGTGGTGTTCACCGCCGAGTGCATGGTGAAGATCGTGGCGCTGCGCTGCTACTTTTTCACCGTCGGCTGGAACATCTTCGACTTCGTGGTCGTCATCCTCTCCATCGTCGGTGCGTATTTTGAATCGGTCACTCTTTCCGAGCGTCGTTGAGCCACCGGGGGGCCTTTTACGCGAGGACGTTAGGCGACTATTCCGTTGAAAGCAAATCTGTTCCACTGGGACCTTGATTTCCAAATTTAAGGTCTGTTCTGTCATTCATTTTTATAGCAAATCAAAGTGGGGTTTAAATTCGGGATAGGGTTTTAAAGTTGAGTTTCAAAGCAGGATTCGGGTTTCAAATATGGGTTTAAATTAGTTAGATTAGACCCCAGGTGTCAAACCCGAGGACCAGGGGCCAGATCTGGCCCGCCATGTCATTTTAGATGGCCCGCAAACGCAAATCATGTGTGTCAATTTCCATGATCCTTGTTCAAATCTGGATGTGTAATTAAAAACATTTTTCAGTCATTTTTTTTTTTACTCTGTTGACACTCATTTTAAGAATAATTGAACAAACAACAAACAAACAGTTGACTGATTTTAAGCCATCAATTTCATTTGTTGTGGACAAGTAATAATAAGATGTGATGATTAAACATTTATTCGGTTTCGGACCTCCAAGGGAAGACGTAGCTCCAAAGTGGCCTGCGAAAAATGACACCCAAGGATTAGACAGTTATTTGTCAGCAAAGTAACTTTCTGAGTGGGCTTGATGCCCCCCTGCACACAACTAAGGTCTTGCTTGGTCATACGAACCCCACAAAAAGCACACACACGCTAGTGATGCGCCTGACACGTCCACAACCCAAGCAGTTAATTTAGCCGTCGCCGTTCATGTTTCATTTCCTCCATTTAGCTCGCGACAAGTTTTATGATTGAGTGTGTGCACGCACGAGCGTGGGCTTGCATGCGCGTGGGCTTGCATGCGCGTGTATGCACTCGGACGAGGCCGCCCGGGGGAGGTGAAGGTAACGGCAGCAATCAGCGCTGGCAGGGGGCGGGTCCCCGCAGACAAATCCAACATGATTGACCTGTTACATCAGCTCCGTGTGTGTGTGTGTGTGTGTGTGTGTGTGTGTGTGTGTGTGTGTGTGTGTGTGTGTGATGTCATCCCATGTTGTGAAATGAAGTCGGTTTTTGACAGCGTCCTCACGGCTTCCGTGCGCGTGCTTTCCAGGCATCGTGCTGGCCGACATCATCGAGAAGTACTTTGTGTCGCCGACGCTGTTCCGCGTGATCCGGCTGGCGCGCATCGGCCGCATCTTGCGGCTGATCCGCGGCGCCAAGGGCATCCGCACGCTGCTGTTCGCGCTGATGATGTCGCTGCCGGCCCTCTTCAACATCGGCCTGCTGCTCTTCCTGGTCATGTTCATCTACGCCATCTTCGGCATGGCCAACTTCGCCTACGTCAAGCGGCAGGCGGGCATCGACGACATGTTCAACTTTGAGACCTTCGGCAACAGCATGATCTGCCTTTTCCAGATCACCACCTCCGCCGGCTGGGACGGCCTGCTGAGCCCCATCCTCAACAACTCGCCCGAGGAGTGCAACCCGCACGTGCCGCACACGGGCACCAGCCAGCGCGGCAACTGCGGCAACCCTTCAGTGGGCATCACCTTCTTCGTCACCTACATCATCATCTCCTTCCTCATCGTGGTCAACATGTACATCGCCATCATCCTGGAGAACTTCAGCGTGGCCACCGAGGAGAGCACGGAGCCTCTGAGCGAGGACGACTTTGAGATGTTCTACGAGGTCTGGGAGAAGTTCGACCCGGAGGCCACGCAGTTCATCGAGTACGCCAAGCTGTCCGACTTCGCCGACTCCTTGTCGGAGCCGCTGCGCATCGGGAAGCCCAACAAGATCAAACTGATCTCCATGGACCTGCCCATGGTCAGCGGCGACAAGATCCACTGCCTGGACATCCTCTTCGCCTTCACAAAGCGCGTTCTGGGCGAGTCGGGCGAGATGGACGCCCTCAAGCAGCAGATGGAGGAGAAGTTCATGATGGCCAACCCGTCCAAGATCTCCTACGAGCCCATCACCACCACGCTGCGGCGGAAGCAGGAGGACGTGTCGGCCGCCGTCATCCAGCGTTGCTACCGGAGACATCTCGTACGCCGCCAGATGAAAGCCGCCTCTTACCTCTACCGCCGGATCACCACGCCGCGACACGCGCCGGCCCGGGGCGACGGCGAGGCAACCGACGGCGAGGAGGAAGAGGAAGAGGCGCCCGAGAAGGAAGGCCTGATCGCCGCTATGATACGTGAGAACTACGGCTCCGGGTTGGTCGGATTGGAGCGCTCCGAGGTGTCCTCCACCTCGTCGCCGCCGTCCTACGGCAGCGGAAAGCGCGCCCCCC